AGATATAAGGAGAATGATTGCTCTAGCAAGCAGGAACTTTCCTCAAGCCCCCAGAGAATGGAGACCTTTATCTTAATGCCTGACCTTGGGAAAAGGACTTCTTCTGGGGACCAAACACTATATTACAATTTAAGGGCAATTTTCATTCCTCAAGGAGGTAGGAATTGAGCTATTCCCTAAATGTGTCCTTTTGTGTCTTACTGTTCCCCTCTTATGCTCCTAAAAGGGAAGGTCTTGATATCTTACTCTTTTTCCATTATACAGTATCATTCTGATTTCTCTGCACTTATTTAATGAACTCTTGCCCTCAATGGCCTCAGGTTCTGGATCTGAATTTTAGGCATTTCATCCTCAGAATCAGGTATGCCTAGTGAATCTCTATTCTTGGTGTGATTAGGAGGCCACGATGGAATTCATGGATCTGCAGTGGCAGGGATTTTTTTTCCTAAGGAATTATTTTGTTTAGATAGGCTACCATCGTACACATTTTTATCCGTTACCAAAGCCCGCACAAAATTTCCCAAAGGGAAAGGCATTAATATGGAGAATCATTAAAAATGAAAGTGAAAGCTGGGTGTTGGTTGTGCACGCCTTTAATCCCAGCACTCAGGAGGCAGAGGCGGGTGGATCTCTGTGAGTTCGAGGCCAGCTTGGTCTTCAGAGTGAGTACCAGGATGGGCTCCAAAGCTACACAGAGAAACCCTGTCTCAAAAAACCAAAAAAAAAAAAAAAAAGTGAAAAGGTACTGGAGAAGTGTGGTCTGCAATGCTGAAATGCTGGAACTTTGTCAAGCATCAATGATCGCCATGCAGTCCACATCAGGACCATATAATACATGGTTTCTAATGACTTTTTGATTCTTACTTGGCAGACTGTCCTTGGGTCACACGTGTATCACCATTGATTTCTCCTTTTTCTGTCTAAATGCCATGGTTTGAATATTACTGTTTGACCAGCCAGTTGATCAGTTGATGGTCATCTGTGTTGTTTTAATTTTGGTCTGTCACAACGGATGTAGCTGTGAACATTGTGTACAAGGTTTTCTTCTTTGTTTTGTGGGAGTGGGGGTTGTTTGTTTTGTTTTGTTTTGTTTTTTGAGACAGGGTCTCACTATGTAGCCCTGGTAGGCCTGGAACTGGCTTTGTAGATCATGCTGACCTCAAAGGCTCAGAGGCTTGTCTTCCTCCCCAGTACTGGGATATGTGTACTCGACATTCATGTGTGTGTGACTCACCACAAATGGTACACGTTTTTTTTGGGGGGGGATTGTTTGTTTGTTTGTTGTTTATTTGTTTTTTCCAAGACAGAATTTCAATGTGTAACAGCCCTCGATGTCCTTAAACTCAGTTTGTAGATCAGGCTGGCCTTAACTCACAGAGATCAACCTGCCTCTGGTTCATGATTAAAGGCAGGCATTACTGCCACCCTGCTGCATTTTGTTTTTATATGTGTGGGGACATCATGTTTTCATATCTCTAGCTAGAATTCCTGAGTGCAGAATGGCCTGGGCCTCCCTGTGCAGGCATTTGAGGAGCTGCTGGGCTGTTTTCCATGGCTGCACCTTTTTCCTGCCCCATTCAGTCTGCAGGTTCCACACTGACATTTGTTGCCCTCTGCGTTTTCTATTACTACCATCCAAATGGGTACACAGCAGCATGCATCTATTGCTCCTGTGGTTTTTATTCCCCTTTTCCCCAATGATTTAAGACATTGAATGTACTTACGTGCTTTTCTTCTGTTACTAGAACTGGCGTGTGTCCATGCCAAAGATTTTCCTATGCTGAGTGGGAAGGGAAGGGGAAGGAAAGAAAAAAGGAAGGAAGGAAGGAAGGAAGGAAGGAAGGAAGGAAGGAAGGAAGGAGAGTGATATTAGCTTTTGGAGTGACTGTTTTGTTTTCCTTTTCTTGTGTGCATGTGGGGTGTGTATATTTATGTGTCTATAGGTGCACATGTAAATGTATGTAGAGACCTGAAGTCAGACTCTGGTATTGTTTATCTGGAGCCAATCAACCATCTTGTTTTTAGACACAGGGTCTCTCACTTGCCAAGTAGGCTAAGTCTCAGGCAGGGATCTGACAGTTTGGCATTGGCATTAGGAGATCACCACTGTGCCCAGCTTTTTGTGTGGGTTTTGGTGTATAGAACTCAGGTCTTCATGGTTGCAAGGCAAGTACCTTTCTTAAAAAGCTATCTCCCTAGTCCTGAGTGATTAATATTGTCAACAGACTTGCTTCCAACTTTCTTAGCTTGAATGCTTGCTCTCTCATCACTGCTGGTCTGAGTTCTTTCCATTGTGTGTCTGTTACTGCTAATCATAAGTCCTTTGGTGGGACCAAGATATTACTCTGAGATTTGCAAGTATCTTCTCAATGAGACTTCTGAAGTCATAACCTCTGTCTTCCTAATGGGAAGATAATTCTAAGGTGATTCACTGTGTGCTGACAGAGTTTCTTTCACATCATGCATTCTATGGGGGGAAAGGCCTTTCCTGGAAATTCTATAGTTGCTTATGATTGGCCCCTCAAGGGCTAACTCTCTTTAGCTAGGACTTTGGACTCCAAATGTGTACCTCTCTGAGTGTCTTGATTCTTTCCCTGTTGCTGTGATTCAGTGAATAAGGCTTGGCTCACAGTCCATCATGGTAGGGATGTCAAGATGTCAGAAGCCTAACACAGCCAGTCACATCACATCCACAATCAGGAAAAGAGAGCAATGAATAATAGCTCATTTTCTCCATATTTTACAGCTTATGATCCTATTTCAGGATTACCCACAATTAAGATGAGTCTCCCCACGTTGATCAATGTAATCAAGATAATCCCCCACAAGTATGGTCAGAGTCCCATCTCCTGGGTGAATCTAGATCCCATCAAGTTAATAGTGAAATGAAACCTCTCACTGAGCTGGAATAATTTCACCTAGGCTGCCTTAGCCATCATCTTACCCCTAGAATGTATCATCTGGGTAGTTCTGAACTTTCCAAAGGAAAGGGTTAGAAGCCTCAAACCTTCTACCAAAGACCTGGTCTTTGCTTTCGTTCTTGCTCTGGCCCTTCCTGTGACTTAAACCCTGAAACCCTGTTACAGCCCTCATCAACCTCATCAGTACAGTTAACTGAGGAAGTGCAGCAGGATTTCCTGTCTGAAGGTTTAGAGGTACTGTCAGCAGTTCAAGATCTGTCCTAAAATAGTTAAAGAAAATACCCTGAAGCCCCCCTTTTTGGTATGGCATCCTGCTAATAGGGCCTGGGAAAGCCCCTTCAGATATGAGGTGCTATTGAGTGTGGATTATCTAGAAGGAAGTGCTGTTTCATGTATTGGGGGGGGGATGGCATTCAAAGTATTAGCTCTCTGAGGGTGGGTGTTCCATCGTGCTCACAGTTAGTCCCCAGGACTTGGGGGCATCAGGTACTCAGTGGGTATGTACTTGAAAACCACATGGAGAAAGGAAAGAGGGAGGATCTGTGTATTCCAGCCTGGAACTCTTCATGTAGCCAAGGGTAACCCTGAATTCCTGATCCTCCCACCTCTACCCAACTGGCTTTTCACATGCTAGGAAGCATTATACCAACTGAGCTGTGTCCCCAGGCCTGACTGTTGTCTTTCTCTGAGCAGGTGCATGTTGGTAGTAGCCCTTGACTCATGAGTCTTTGAGTTAAACGCTGGAACTTGAGAGTGGTATGAGAAGCTATGTCCCCTTCTGTTTTCAGTTCTCGGTGTTGTGTTCAGTAGATTTTGAGATACATACTTTGTTATGTTAGGTGACTTTGCTCAACTGTAGGCTAATACAAATGTTCTGAATATGATTTTAAAAAAGACTAAGCTAAACTATGATGCTTGGCCAGTTTTAAGTATATTAAACACAATTTCTACTTAATAATATTTTCAGTTTATAAAGCATTTATTAGGACATCATCCCAGTGGAAGTGGAGAGTCTGGATATTTATCCAAAGGGTTCTTTAAACAAGACATGGGGCTCCACTGTGTCAGCTTTCTGTCATTGTGACAAAATGTTTGACATCATGACTCTTGCTAAATAGCACATATGTGTGCCTACCCATCAGCTCGTCTGCAACCTCTTCTCAGGCCCTCCTTTCTGGGAAACCCCAATAGAGAGCACCGGTCCTGTCTGTGCTGTTATCAGATGGGAGACAAACACCTTCACATCGAAACTCTGCTTTTGAACTTTTCGTTTTGTCTCATGACGGCAGTGAAAGTGAGAAGCACAGAGAAGCTGCCAGCCAGTCTTGGGCTTCCTGTGCAGCAGGCACGCGATCCTGTGAGGTTCAGCTTTTGCTCCAGATAGCTGGGGCAAGGGGCTGAGGTGAAGCTCACCGATAGAATGAATGCTTAGCATGCACTCCGGTTTTGATCTCTGGCACTCCGACATAAAGCTTTGCCTCTGGCATCTCTCTCTGCTGGTGCTTGGGAGTAGCACCTGGCAGAGTCACTTACCCTGGAACACTGATAGTGAAATCCAGCCATGCTTAAACAATGCAGGACCATCTCCCCTTTCCTTCTTAGTATTTTGTAAGGACACATCCGCTTGCTTGGAGAGCTCTCAAGCTGTATGCACAAACTTTGCTCCGAGCGCACAATGACTTTCTAAGCCCAAGTTACACATGCACAAAGTACAAAGTGGTCACAGGACTCTGCCCTCCCCATGAGTTTTTGCTGACGTTTGGTGACATATCCTTCCATCTCCTCTGTACCTTGCAAAACAAGCTTCCTGTTTTGAACTAGGTCTAGAAGGGGGCCAGCCCTACTACACCTGTGTCCACACACTCAGATGCACACTTCCTCCAGTATATTTGTACAGCCTTATGTTGCTTTACCACATTTCTCTTCTGGCCTCACAGATCCCAAATGTTAGCCTAAAGTACTCAGTCAGCATATTAAGCCGAGAAGTGAGTGGGTATTCCGTGGAATGCTACCTCGGTGCAGTTTCTGATTGTTGTGTTTGGTTACGACCACATTGCTAACTGTCCTCCTCCTTCACAGCAGAATGGAAGCCAGGCAAGGAAATCAGCTGACTCAGGAGCCGGAGTGAGAGCGACACACCCTCCGCCCCAGCCTGCACCATGAACTTGCCTTCACCTTCTGCACGTTGAGAGCCAAGGGAGGGGTACATTGCCAGAGAGAGATGGCTTTCTTTACTCCCTGGAAGTTGTCCTCTCAGAAGCTAGGCTTTTTCTTGGTGACTTTTGGCTTTATATGGGGGATGATGCTTCTGCACTTCACCATCCAGCAGCGGACTCAGCCTGAGAGCAGCTCCATGTTGCGGGAGCAAATCCTGGATCTCAGCAAAAGGTACATCAAAGCACTGGCAGAAGAAAACAGAAACGTGGTGGATGGACCATACGCTGGCGTCATGACAGCTTATGGTGAGTGTGGTGGCATGGAGTTGGGTTGCTCCACTGAGCACGCCTGGGCTTCGGAGGGACCCCAGAAGTTCCCACATGTGGGCTTGCTCTGGATTGAAGATTCTCCGTTTTCATGGGCAATGATTATATTTGTTTTTGTATGTGCATCATTTTGGTCTTTGTATTTATATGTGTGAGTGTGGATATACACATGCCAGAGGTCAGAAAGTAATCTCAGGTGTGAGTCCTTACATTTTACCTTCTTTTCAACAAAATCTCTTGTTGGCAGCTGCATGCCAAGCTCACTGCCTCCTGAACTTCTGAGAGATTTTCTTGTCTCTGACACCTGTCCCTGAACAGGCATACTTGGATTATATATGCATGCTCCTGTAACTAGATTTATGTGGGTTCAGGGGATCTGAACTCAGGTCTTTACACTTGTTCAGCAAGCTCTTCTACTGACTGAACCACCACCTCAGCTCGCAGCTGTACTTTTAGAAAGGTAATGCAGTGGCATTTGTGGGACTTTAAGCTCCTGTACACACAGACACACACCCATCCCCTCCCCAGGCATGCCAGTCAGCACACTGGAGCGTCCTGGATTGTGTTTGCTGCCAGTCCTCACTCTGTAAACATATTTCTAGACTGTGCCCACAGGAGTGTGTTCATGGAATGCCGACAAACATTTTCACTCTCTGTCCTTAAACAAGATGTAATTAGATACAGTGGAGGGGGACTGGGTGACGGGGATTATGTTTTGGATGCTGTCAAGGTCAGTGCTGAGCTAATAAACTGCCTTGTAGCTTTAGTGTTTGATATCTCAGACTTCATTGCTTGTCTTTAATTTTGCTCACTCCGAAAGCAATCTTCTTGTACTCATTGCTCATTTCTAGGTGCCTCAAATTCATTTTCAAAGGGCACATGAGGGCTTCCCTTCCCTAGCATTCTGGGTTGGATCCATGCATAGCGGCACATGCCTGGAAGCCCAGCACTGTTGTGCTTCTGGCAGAAAGATCAGATGCTTCAGGGTCGCTCTCAGCTACCTAGGGTGTTTGTGGTTAGCTGGGGCCACATGAGACTGTGTGTGTGTGTGTGTGTGTGTGTGTGTGTGTGTGTGTGTGTGTGTGTGCAGATATATTAAAAACAAACTATGTATGTGAAAAATATCTTATTTTTACTGTTCGGGAAAGTTATGCTTAGTTTAGAAAAATTGAAGGTGTAAACAGGAAAACAAATGAGGAAAATCACATAAAATTATGCTTCATGCATTATACATAATTAGCATTTAGTGTATATTCTGATATATTTTTCCATCATCATCATCATTATTGAATGTGCATGCCCACTCATGTATCTGGGTGCATGCACCACTGCACATAGTGGAAGTCAAAGGACAGCCTTTAGGAGTCAGTTTTCTCCTTCCACCATGTGGGTCCCAGGGATGGAACTCAGGTCATCATGCTTGCGCAGCAAGTCCTTTTACTCTCTGAGCCATCTCGTCTGACCCTGATGATGCAAAATGCACATACAGATTCTTATAAAATATACACATTGTCTGCAGATGGACCTTGGGTTGCACCATCTTGGAGATTCTACCTCCCAGGATGCCCTGTGGGTCCAGAATGACCTGGGTTTCTAGAGGGTGAGCTCTTGTGATTCATCAAATTAAAAACTGAGCCATCAACCCCAGACATGATTGGGCTTAGTGTTTGGGACTTAGACTATAGATGGCATGCTGTGGTGCTGTAGAAGAGCTGGTGTTCTGCTTTATGGCCCAGTCAAGGACATGCCCTCAAGGAGATAGCATCCACATAATCATTAGAACACTTGCTGCTGTAGGTTGTATTTGGGCAGCTGGAGTACAGACACGGGAAATCATGTGCACACAGAAGCTTGGTTCTGTGGGGTGTGTGTATGTGTGTGTGTGTGTGAGTGTGTGTGTGTGTGTGTGTGTGTGTGTGTGTGTGTGTGTGTGTGTGAAGAGATGATAGCTACAGGCTGAGGAACCCTAGTGTTCTTTCACAGTTCTTAGGATCAGAATGGTCACACTATCTGCTTTTAATACATCTCTTTGAGCTTTGTCAGCAATAGTCTTTGTGGGATGGCTCGGTTGGTAAAGTGCTTGTCATGAAACCATGAGGACCTGAGCTTGATCCCCAGCACTGATATAAAAAGGTCAGGCATGGACAGCAACCTGAACCTACAACCTCAGTACCAGCGATCTTCAGGCTCACTAAAAGACCCTGTCCCAAAAAAACAATAGGGAGAGCTAAAGATGAGGAAGATATCACACACACATTCACAAGCTCACATAAACACCACACATAGACATCACACATAGACACACACATGGACGGAGGGAGGGAGAGAGAGAGAACAAGCTCAGCAACAAACATGAAATGCCCAACCACACAAGTCATATGACTCAATGACTTGACTTAATCGTCCATCAGTTTCAGAGATCAGTTACCGACAGAGAGAAAAGACTAGCACAGAACATTGGTGTTGCATAAGTGTGATGTGACCTGTGGTAGATGCTGTCTTAAAGGTTTTAATCCTACATGTACTTTGTTATACCCTTTTTGGGAAAGGACAATAACTTAGTTGTAATTTCCTCTAATCACAGTTTATCAAACTTTTTCTGTGGGCAAGACAAAAACATATGAGTTAAATATTTATAGACTTGTGATCTTACTAGTTGTTTTTATTATGTGTTGATAAAAAGCTCAGAGTGCAGGCTTCCTGCATATTCTAGAGAAAATACATCTGGTCTTAGCTTGTTTGTGTGTGTGTGTGTGTGTGTGTGTGTGTGTGTGTGTGTGTGTGTGTTATGAAAGTAATCCAGGACTGGGGTGATAGCTTACAAGAGGACTGGGGCACCTACATTCAATCCCCAGAAACTATGTTTAAAAAACAAACAAACAAACAGACAGACATAATTGGTATGCCATTGTAATCCCAGCACTGGGGAGGCAGAGACAATTATATCCCTGGACTTATTGGTCAGTTGACTGAGCTCACTTTATGAGCCTTGGAGACTCTCTATTAAACAAACAACAAATAAAAACAAACAAGATGGATGGCATTTTTGGAATGACAGTTAAGGGCTCTGGATTCCTTTACATGCACACGCATGCTTACACATACACACACACACACACACACACACACACACACACACACACACACACACCTCAGAGTCTTCCATTGGAATTTCATCACAGGGAATTGCATCTCAAAGGGCCTATAGGAATTATTTATTCTAACCCTTTCAAGATGAGCCTCAGTGAAGTAATAATTCATCTCTCCCCTCATACCAGCAAACAGTGACACAGGAGTCACTAGTGAGTCTTACATGGTTTCCTCCCACCATGCTGACATGCCAATCTAAGTGGTCTTTGGAGCTGAGTTTCTAGAACTTACTAGAGTGTATGTGGTTGAGGTTTTTGAGACTGTCCTGTGGTGAGGTCCACTGAGACAAGGTTTCCTGGTCCTATTGATGTTTTAGATTATGTAAGTCTGTATTTCAGTAAGATTTTACTTACATAATGTTTTCATTTTATTCTGTCGCAGTTACACAGCACTCTGACCAAAAACAACTTATGGAAGGAAAGGATTTATTGAGCTTACACTTCCATTCAGAGTCCATCACTGAGGGAAGTTGAGTCAGGAACCTGGATGCAGGGACCATGGAGGAACACCACTTACTGGCTCACTCTCTGTCTCCATCCCTGGCTCCCTCATGTTCTCATGCTTAATCATATAGCCCAGGACCTCCTGCTAGGAATAGTGCCACCATAGTGGGTTGGGCCTTCCTATTTCAATTTTAAAAAATCAAAAGAGTCCCTCATGGACATGCCCAGAGAGAGGCTGTTACTTGACTAAAACTCTTGTCAGGCTATTATAGACTGTATTAAGTGGGCAGCTAAAGATCACTAGTACACATGGTAAGCTTTTAGCAGGAGATACCAATAGCCCCTGCCTAGTTGTGACAATCAAAAATATCTCCTGGTATGATGATAATAAAGGTTTGTTTTTGTTTTTGTTTTGGAGTCTTGAGTTGGGTAACCTCACTGTTCCCTTGGCTTAGGATTTTGTACACAAGCAGCTAAGTGACAGGGTGATATTAGGTAGGGTGTGATCTAGTGCTAATCTTGGGAAGTTGGAAAGACATTCTGGTGGCCCTACCTTCTCCTTTAAATTGTCACCATTGGTGACATTGACAGATAGGCAGCTCTGGAAGGTGAAGGCAGGAAGATCAGGAATTCAATCAAAGTCATCTTTGGCTACAAAGAGAATTTTAGAGACCAGCCTGAGCTACATGAAAGTCCTGTCTTGGGTAGATACAGAGACTGTGGGATATTGTATGCTTAGCTGGGCTGTGTGGGCCATCTGCTTGCAGACTCTTGCTTATCTGCCATAGACACAGCCCATGTCAGTGTACTGCCTGACATTTGCCCTGGAAGAATGAACAATTGGTCCCATGTGTCCAGGATCTGGGTCTACCTTGAAGGGATCCCATTAGTAGACTGAATAAACTTTTCATCTAAGAAGGGATTTGGTAAGAGTGGGAGGGAGGGGAATGAGAGATAGAGAAATGGGGTGTGTGTGAAAATTACCAAAAAGCATTATGTCCATGTATGAAATTGTCAAAGAACAGGAAAGTGAAAAATCTCTCTTCCCATTCCCATGTTGGTAGAATCAGAGCATCCTGGAATACTATAAATAGATCTGATGAGATCGATCCGTAGTCTGTAAGGCTAAGGTTTCCTTATTCAGATAAACACCAGCCCAAACGCAAGCCAGAGCATGCCAGGGGCAGCAAGGCAGCCAGGCCAGAGAGAGGGGCCAGAAAAAAAGGGCTATTCATGTGTGTGTGGTCCCTTAAGAACCGTTTCTGCATCGCCTTAGACCTCCCCTGACCACGCACTCACGGGCGTGTCCTGGCACACCTGTCTGGGCTACTAGGAGGCGGGGCTACAGTGTCTCCCTACAATTCCCCTTTTAGTCTAAAAGAGGAT